AAAAAAAAAAAAAAAGAAGGGGACTCTGTAAGTGTCCCTAAGACCAACTGAGTGGGAAAGAGATTCTTTTCAGTACACTGGCAGTTTTCCTGTCAGTGATTGGCTTTATTCCATCCAGAAATAGCTTAATCTGAAAATTTACTGCTGAAGAATTGGAAAGGACTATTAGACCTCGAAAATTTCTAGCACAACTGCACTGAGACATTATTCCCAGCCTGAGACTCTACTCTCAAATAGAGCAATGTTCTCTGTTAGTCTTAAAACATAAAAAATGTGAACACACTCAAGATACCTCAAAAATGGAAAGAACAGAAAACACTGAAAATTACATGATCAACATGATTTTCTTTAGCTATCTAAAAGTATGCTTCTTTTATTCTAAAAGACTTTATTTACAAAGTATGCTTCCATTGCATTTTAAAAGACGCATATCAAATGTTAAGTCATTATAGCAATTCTATAAAAAGATTCATATCCTTTCAAATATTTTTTGTCATTATTAAAAAAAAATTAGAAGGCTGTAATCTCAGTCACTGACGCGAAAGAGCACGTGATCGTAAGGGAAGAAACATCTCACTAGAGTTTCCACAAGTTCCTCCTCCTTCTAACTGCAGCTCCGGCGGCAAAGGCGGGGCCCCAGGGTCCCCAGGTCTGGGAAGCGTAGTTGAAGAGAAGGTGGGATTGTCAGTTCTGCCCACTTCTAGAACAGGCAAATTCAAGGAAGACTCCGTAGAAAAAAAGGGGGCTGTGCTGGATTCTCCTTCTGGATGGTATATGACAGTGGATGCTCTCAGTTTTTCAGAGAAATTACTCTCATCTGAATTTGTTCTACAGAAGTTGTTTGTGGCGCCATCTGGAAAAGGCTCACAGCTGCTACATTTCAGTCCTACAATAAAATTATTCAGATGTAAATGAAAAAGTCACTAAAACAAAACAAAACAAACATACAAAAAAAACTCCAGCCCATACTCATCTTGTAAGTTTTGAAAGATTACAAGCTGGTTACCACACAACCAAAAATTTAAATAGCAGTTTATAAATTCTGTCATAATCCGTTTCATGTTTCATTTGCTTTTCCCAACAACCATGAAGTACACCATTATTTTTTATTTCCTAGATAAGGAAGTCATCGCAAAGAAGCTAAATGACATGCTGTAAATCACATTTAATTTGTGTACTCATATACTTAACTACTGAATGACCTGGAAAAAATTATGTGACCCCTAAAATTTTTCATAAAGTAAGAAATAGCTTTCACAACTAATATTCTTTAGCATTCTGGCACAAACGCAGTAAGAAACAAACTGTAAACAGGGCATATGCTAAAATTCTATGAGTTAATACCAATTATAGATTCCTGAGTCATAGGGTGTTAGAAGTAGAAGGAATTTTAGAGGTCCCCTGGGATAGCTTCTCACTATCAGAGACGAGAAAATAGAGGCCTCAAAGAGTTAAGTCATACCCAGCATTCTAGAACTACTTCATGGGAAAGTGAGAACTAGAACCCAGGTCTCTTCACATTAAATAATGTTCTGGTTCCCAACCTTAGAGTTTAAATGATAGTGGCTCTTCTGATCAAAGAATTTTACCATATCCAATGGGTATAGGTATCAATTAGCCTCAGGGTGAAAGAATGAACACAAACAAATTTTATCTGTTCGGCTTAGCAAATATTTAACCTGTCTATAGGCACAGAACATCCTGAGTTGACAAATTTTATGGAAAATCTGCAAAGTCTATAAAGTACATTTATATGTCATTTTTTCCCCCACTAGCTTTTCAGCTTCACAATACATTCAGCATTTCTGTTCCATGCTATATAAACAATTTTCTTTTCTTTCTTTCTCTTTTTTAATGTTTATTTATTTTTGAGAGAGAGAGAGAGAGAGAGAGAGAGAGAGAGAGAGAGAGAGGCAGAGAGAGAGGCAGAGAGAGGCAGAGAGAGAGAGGGACAGAGGATCCAAAGCAGGCTCTGTGCCGACAGCAGTGAGTCCAATGCAGGACTCGAACTCACAGACTATGAGATCATGACCTGAGCCGAAGTCAGACACTCAACTGCCTGAGCCACCCAGGCGCCCCTAAATGATCTTCTTAAATGTGCTCAGGAGGGAAGACTTCCAGTGTGTCCCAGTATGGACTTAACAGACTGTGAGTTTCTTAAGAGCAGAGTCCTGAATTACTCATTTCTGTATCCCCAGTGCCTAGAACAGCTGGAGTAGAGCTATATCACATGCACATTTATCTCAAGTGCTCTGCAGAAAGGCAGAGAGAGAGAGAGAGAGAGAGAGAGAGAGAGAG